CCGTCTTGTCTATCCTGTGCCCGTCCTCCCATTTGAAGCCCTCCCTGACTGAGGCCTTTGTCCGCCGCCTCCCGCCCAGAGAAGAACGGGCAATTACCCCATCTCAGCTCCTCCGCCCGTACCGCTAGGCCCCTTCCCCCTGCGCCTTTCCCCAGGCGTCAGAGGCAGGCGGCTGCTCAGCCGTCTGAGCAGCGTGAGCACCACAGAAGAAAATGAAAAATACAAAAAAAAAAAAAAAAAAAGGGTATGAATATTACGTTTGTTTTGTTATCTTTGGTTGTCATTTTTATACCCGATCTCAAGCACGATGAAGCATGTAGCTATATATTCTTATTAATCCATATCTATTACCCTTTATGATATTACCACGAAGATCAAAGATGTTGAGAAAAGAACCGAGTAAAAACGTAGAAAATGTTAAAATATATGGCACAGAATTGCGACTCTTCTATTTGATTTTATACACTAAATTGACAAATGATACTGCCGACAACTAGGCCTGAGCGGGCAAAAGGTAAGCATATCCCATCTATTGAGCCTTGGAGGAAACAATTCCTATAGCAAACAGCATTAGTAAAATAGTACAAGTAAAAAGGATACATATAAGAGCTAACTTACTCTCAACGTCAGCAACGGATTGCTGCAGAACTTGCTGCAGCATCTTGGGGTTCTGCAACTCCTTCTGGATCTTGGCAATGACGGACTCGGCCAACTCGCGCTGTTCACGCTGCTTGACCTGGCTCTCGTAGGAAACCCAGGACTCGAGAACCTTCTTGGCCTCAGCGGCAAGAGCAGTTCGCTGCTCCAACTCGAAAGCCTGAGCCTCCAAGCGAGCGGATTCCTATCAACATCACCAAACGTTAGCAAAGAGCAAAAATACAAAACCGACCCACTTCCATCAAAAAACAAGTCGAAATCCATCAATTCCTAACCAAATTCGTACCTTAGAGACCTCGAAGAGCTGCTTAGTGACATCAACGACACCGCTCAAGGGCTTGACGTTCTCAATTCTCTGCTTAACGGCATTGGTGTGGTCCGCACGAGCAGAGTTAAGAATATCCTTCTGCTTCTGGATCTGAGTAGCAGCCCACTCCTTGTATCCTGGTCCACCAAGCTTTGAAAGCAGCGTAGAACACACTGAGCAGACAGAAAGCAACGACAGACTCCTCGTTCAAGATGTACAGTTCGTTGCTGATAGCGGCAATGGACAGACCAGCAGCACCGGAGAGAATTGCGGTCTTGGAAATCAGCGAGTTGCCGGGCAGAGCATCGACGATGGACTGGGCCTTGCTCTTGGGGTCCTCGGAGGGGACGTTGGAGGCATATCGCGCCGGAGTGACGCTGGTGAGGGCTGGGACAGATCGTGGAAGAACCGATGGACGGATACGAGCGGCGCCTGGGAAAGAGGGCGATTAGTGTCGTGGGAGGGTCAATGGCGGCTGAGGCCGAGGGTGTGAGGCGGCGGGTTCACTTACCGATGGCGCTCTTAGCCAACCGTGACGCCATTGTAGTTGTACGTTGAGGTGGTTGATGTGGTGATGGACTGTGACCTGTGATGGATGAGGTTTTGATTGCAGTTTGAAAGATGAAGTTCGGGTGATTCAGGACGCTAGCCGTATGGGGACTAGTGCGTGTCTGGCTGGTGAAAAAGCGACATAAAAAAAAGATTAAAGTACGATAAGAGAGAAAAAGATTGTTGAAGGGGGATAAAGATATAAAAGGAAAAAGGGCGCCGTCAACGATGTCGCCTGTGGTTAATGGCGAGCTGAAAAGCTCGAAGAAGAGGAAGAAGAGTGATTCAGAGTCTATTCGTCGGTCATTGAAGCGGAGAGCGGTTGAGGGAGAGAACGGCAAGCTGGAGACGGAACATATACAAGAGCTCGAGGACCAGATTGCTGAATCCCGGAAATATTACAACAATATCGTCACTTTGCTCTCGAAACTTGATGATGCAGGTACGGATAAGGCTGGCAAAAAATCTGTTACGGTTTCTCTTTGCAGAGTCTTCTGTCGGTTGTTGGCTGGTGGACAATTGAATCCGTCGAAGAGCGCATCCGAGCCAGAGACCATCCTTGTCGCGTGGTTGAAGGAGAGATACCAGGAGTACAAGGTAGCTTTGCTTAGGATATTGAGGGACGGAGAACCCTCTCAGCAGGTATGTCTGGTATATATTGCATTCCATGGTTAAATGTTATGCTAACGTATAGTGGAATTTGATAGATTACCGCTCTAAGCTTGTCTATGCAATTGATTAAAGAACAAGTGGCTCATTATACTGGATCAGACATCAATGTATGGTCTGGTGGCTATTTTAATGATATACTGGCCGCTGTGATTATGCCAGGCAACGACAAGGTTAGGGCGCATTTCATGGACAACTTTTACCAAAAGTACCACGATATCACAGTCTACACCGTCCTACGACTTGCGTACGTTTCTACCCCCATGGATAACAATTATTCAGTCCGCACACTGACATGCATAAACAGGACATATATATCCGAAGAAAGAGATGCAGAAACTCTTGACAACATAGTTGACCTGCTCTCAAACATCGGCGAACCAACAAACCTCCAAGAACGATTTGAAAACACCTACACCGACACCTCGAAGATAAGCCAAAAGAACAAAGGCCCCTTCACCTCTGAGAACTCTTTCAAAATCCGCGTGCAAACGGCCTGGCTCGCCGTACTACGTAACCAAATGACCAAATCTCAACGCAAACACCTCCTTCGCATAATGTCGCATGTCGTCGTACCCTGGTTCGCAAAGCCAGAACTCCTAATGGACTTCTTAACAGACTGCTACAACGAAGGCGGATCAACTTCCTTGCTTTCGCTATCGGGCCTCTTCTACCTCATTCAGGAGAAGAACCTGGATTATCCGCAATTCTACACAAAGCTATATTCCCTACTGGACAGGGATGTGCTTCACTCCAAGCATCGATCTCGTTTCTTCAGGTTAATGGATACCTTCCTTGCTTCTTCGCATCTTCCCGCTACGCTTGTAGCGAGCTTTATAAAGCGTCTTTCGCGACTGGCGTTGAATGCACCACCTGCTGCTATCGTCGTGATAGTGCCGTGGATATATAACATGCTCAGGTCCCATCCAACATGCACATTTATGATTCATCGGGATCTGAAGAAGCATGATCCATCGCTTTACGAGGAGATAGAGGAAGAGGGCATGGATGATCCGTTCGATGCGTATGAGCCCAACCCGACCCTTACAAACGCTATTGAGAGCAGTCTGTGGGAGATTGAGACCTTGCAGTCCCACTATCATCCAAACACAGCGGCTTTGGCGAGGATTATATCCGAACAGTTCACCAAGCAGCATTATAACGTTGAGGACTTCCTAGACCTTTCCTACCAAGCCCTGCTAAGTACGGAGCTAGGTAAGGAGGAGAAGGCATTTAAGAAGGCTCCCGTGGTCGAGTTTCAGATTCCTAAGAGAATATTTACTGATCGCGGACTGGAGGGAAGAGAGGAGGATACAGAGCCCGGACATATGGTTCGAGAATTGTGGGACTTTAGTTAGAATGGTAAACCCATTTCAATGTCATTCTGGA